GGTTGATATATTAAAATCAGACATCTGTAAGAGTCAGAAGGTTAAAGTACTGCAATTTGATTGCATAAATATCTGGTACCCGTTACAGGTCGGGAGCTTCAATATCTGGTACCTGTTACAGGTCGGTGAGCTAACATTTAGAAACTGTTACAGGTCGATATATTAAAATCACACATCTGTAAGAGTTATAAACGTTTAAGTACTACAATTTGATTTCATAAATATCTGGTATCTGTTACAGGTCGGGAGCTTCAATATCTGGTACCTGTTACAGGTCGGTGAGCTAATATTTGTTACCTGTTACAGGTCAATATATTAAAATCAGACATCTGTAAGAGTTAGAAGTGTTAAAGTACTACAATCTGATTGCATCAATATGTGAAATCCGTTACAGGTCGGGAGCTTCAATATCTGGTACCTGTTACAGGTCGGTATATAAAAATCGGACATATGTTAAAGTTAGGGGGGTAAAAGTACTAGAATTTTGTTGTGTAATAACTGGTACCTGTTACATATCATTAAGCTAATATCTGGTACCTGCTACAGGCCGGTATGTTTAAATTGGACATCTGTACGAGTTTGAAGGGTTAAAATACTACAATTTGATTGTATAAATATCTGGTACCTGTTACAGGTCTGGAGCTAAAATTTGGTACCTGTTACAGGTCGGTATGTTTAAATCAGACACCAGTTTCAGTTAGGAGGGTTTAAGTACTAGAATTTGATTGTGTAAATATCTGGTACCTTATACAGGTCGATGACCTAATATCTGGTACCTGTTACACGTCTGTATGTTTAAATCAGACATCTCTACGAGTTAGAAGGGTTAAAGTACTAAAATCTGAATGCATAAATATCTGGTACCTGTTACAGGTCGGGAGCTAAAGTTGGTACCAGTTACAGGTCGGTATGTTATAATCAGACATCTGGAAGAGTAAGGAAGGTTAAAGTACTAGAATTTTATTGTGTAAATATCTGGTACCTGTTATAGGTCGGTGAGCTTAAAGCTGGTACCTGTGACAGGTCGGTATTTTATAATCAGACATCTGGAAGAGTTAGGAATGTTAAAGTACTAGATTTTGATTGTGTAAATACCTGGTACCTATTACAGGTCGGTGAGCTAATATCTGGTACATGTTACAGGTCGGGAACTAAAGTTGGTACTTGTTACAGGTCGGTATGTTTTAATCAGACATCTGGAAGAGTAAGGAGGGTTAAAGTTTAAATATCTGGTACATGTTATAGATCGGTGAGCTTAAAGCTGGTACCTGTTACAGGTCGGTAATTTATAATCAGACATCTGTAAGAGTTAGGAGGGTTAAACTACTAGACTTTGATTGTGTAAATACCTGGTACCTACTACAGGTCGGCGAGCTAATATCTGGTACCTGTTACAGGTCGGTTTGTTTAAATCAGACATCTGTAAGAGTTAGAAGGGTTCAAGTACTAGAATTTGATTGGATAAATATCTGGTACCTGTTACAGGTCGGTGACCTAATACCTGGTACATGTACCTGTTTAACGCCTGTTTGTTTAAATCAGACATATCTACGAGTTAGAAGAGTTAAAGTACTTAGATTTGAATTGATAAATATCTGGTACCTGTTACAGGTCGGGAGCTAAAGTTGGTACTTGTTACAGGTCGGTATGTTATAATCAGACATCTGGAAGAGTCAGGAGGGTTAAAGTACTAGAATTTTATTGTGTAAATATCTGGTACCTGTTATAGGTCGGTGAGCTTAAAGCTGGTACCTGTTACAGGTCGGTATTTTATAATCAGACATCCGTAAGGGTTAGGAGGGTTAAACTACTATAATTTGATTGTGTAAATACCTGGTACCTATTACAGGTCGGTTAGCTAATATCTGGTACCTGTTACAGGTCGGTATGTTTAAATCAGACATCTGTAAGAGTTAGAAGGTTTAAAGTACTAGAATTTGATTGGATAAATATGTGGTACCTATTACAGGTCGGTGACCTAATATCTGGTACCTGTTACACGTCTGTATGTTTAAATCAGACATTTCTACGAGTTAGAAGGGTTAAAGTACTTAAATGTGAATGCATAAATATCTGGTACCTGTTACAGGTCGGGAGCTAAAGCTGGTACCTGTTACAGGTCGGTATGTCATAATCAGACATCTGGAAGAGTCAGGAGGGTTTAAGTACTAGAATTTTATTGTGTAAATATCCGGTACCTGTTTCAGGCCGGTGAGCTAAAATCATGTACCTGTTACAGATTGGTTCGTTTTAATGACGTGTATGAGAGGTGCGATGTTTTATGTACTTGAACCAAGAATGGTTAAATATCTGGTACTTGATAAGGGTAGCTGAAGTGCAATTCCGTACCTTTTAGAAGTACCTAATTGAGGTAAGTAGCTTCTCTTTCTGAATTATACCTCTTACAGGTGGAGAGTTCCATATATACATGTAGTCCCTGTTATAGGTGATTGGCTGTTTGTGTCGGTATCTGTTGTAGAGATAGAAATTATCATACCCTGATTCATATTAACACTACATAAGTAGCTTCATAACCTGGTGACTATTACAGTTAATAAATAAACTATCTGGAAGATCTTACAGGTAACTTCATATTCTGATACCTCATACAGGTAGGTTAGTACACATGTACCTGTAAGAATTAGGGTGATTCATTATTGTATGCCACAACTGACCTTGGACTTAGACCTACATTTAAATTATTTTAACCTTGGTCATAACTTTTGAACAGTTGTGCAAGGGCTTTAATATTTCATATGTGCATTTCTTATAACAAGGTTTTCCCCTGGGTACCTTAACTCTCACGTTGTGTTTGTTTTCTTCATGTTTAGGCTCATATTTATGTTCCCCAAACGAAGTTGGGGAACATATTGTTTTTACTCTGTTTCTTCTTATTATTATTATTATTATTATTTTTCTTCTTCCTGGGAAAATCTTTTCCGCGAATGATCTTGTAAACTACACGTCCGACTCAGGTGAAACCTTTTTAGGGTCAGTAGGCATGTTATGTAGATTTGCCGAACAAGGGTCATTTTGCGCGCACGTGCTTGCAAGAGCGAGCACGTGCAACGCGTGAAATGACCAAAATAATAGATACAGCCGTAACTTTTCTATTTTTTGATGATATGCTTTGATACTCATAATATAAGTATATATTAGTAGTATAGACGTGTTGACATGGTCAAAATAGCAAGATCTCACGCACATGCACGTGCGCTTCGCTCTGATTGGCTGAAACTAAAGTCTCAATATCTTTCTTGTTTTTCGTCATAATCCTATGAAATTTTGAACTTAGTCACACATTATGAAGATCTAAAGTATGATATATAATAATTTTCATGAAAGCACGTACATGCGCGTGAACTGGCAAGAGCTCGCACGTGCAACATGTGAAATTACCAAGATGATAGATGAAGCCGTAACTTTTATATTTCTTGATGGAATTTTTTGAAACTCACAATGCATAAATACAGTAGTAGTATGGACAAGATGACATGGTCAAAATTGCAAGATCTTACGCGCATGCACGTGCGCTTTGCTCTGATTGGCTGAAACTAAAGTCTCAATATCTTTCTTGTTTTACATCATAATCCTCTGAAATTTTGAACTTAGTCACATATTATGAAGATCTACAGCATGATATATAAGAATTATCATGAAAGCACGTAAATCCATATGTGCTGTAATCTGACTGGCTGAAACTTAACATGGCTATATCTTTCTTGTTTCTCAACAAAACAGGATGAAGTTTAGAATATGATTAGCTATTATGGATTTCTACAGGATATTGCTATCAAAATTGAATGCAAGGACGTGTTTGCATGCACATGCGCACACGCAATGCGTAAATGAACAATATGTTTGAAAAACGGTAAAATTTACATTTTCATGACTTTTTATTGATTTCTGGAATATAAAGATATGTTAATGGTTTAGACAACATGTCATGATCACTTTGCATGTGCATGCACGTGCGTTTGCGAACAATGCGTTAAATGACAAAAAGTTGATATCATTGTAGTTTTTAAAATTCTTTTTTGAAATCCTGCGATACTAAGCATATTGAAAAAAGTTTTAAAGGAAATTTGCACAAAAAGGAAGTTGGGGAGCGTTTGGGGAACATCTGTAACGGTCCCCGTTACAATTAGAACTAGTCATACTTATACTTTCTTTTTTTCTTGATATCTTTTTCTTTTATTTCAGTTGCATGCAACAGAAGTTCATTGCTAATCCATGCCTTAGAGAAATGTTCTCGTTTTTGGACACACTTTCATGGCACCCTTTTTGATCACCGTAAGTAATAGTCGGAAGAAACATTTCAATACACGTCTATAATTCTTCCAGTTACTGCGCGAAAAACTTTGAAATGACACGCCAATTAAATCAATATTTTTTCGCTCTATGTTCAGTATTTTTTTTTTCGCTGCATTTACAAGATCATTGTATCGAGAGATGTGAAATAAATTGATATTTTTCTCTAATGTAATTTGTGTGCGCTAATGATCCTTTTTTAAAAATGCCAAATAGAAAATAAAATAATTTCATGTCTTAGGAATTAAATATTAAATGAAAATTGTTCGAGCAGTTAGAATGAAAAGTATAAACTTTTCGTTGAAAAAAAAATCTAATTGTACATGTTTATTTGAAATATTATATGCCGTAAAACTATAGCTATGAACATTTTTGTTTAATTATACCATTTATGCCTACTTCAAACCAATATATGCAAAAAAAATTACTAGTATATCGACATATTAAAGACGCATTCCGTTCATAAAATCCCTCGTCTTGCATTGGCTGGGTGTCTGGCCTTTTCAAGAAAATGCATTTTTCCCATATTTTTAAATATGGTGGTTTTTGCTTGAAAATTTAAAAAAATCTTGAGAGTCATTTTTGATTTTATAACAACCCTATATATATGTGTAATTTTTTAATAGAATACTTCATTTTTGAAAAAAAAGACTTGTGAGACAGACAGACGGATGGATAACGGACAAAGTTTAAGTCATCGGCTCTGGTAAGCAGAAATATGCATAAATACCTCCACTCTCCTCCATTTCAAACTCTGAAATCCTCGATTTTGCAGCGAGTCTGTGCAATAGAAAAACCTCGTCATATTTGCCAACACCTGAAGCGAGATCAAATTCTATCCCAAATTCCACGGGCGATTCTCCAGATTTACCAGACAGTTTCAACGAACTTTTAACGTTTGTCTCCTATATATTACACAATGAAAACATGCTTTATTAGAGACAAAAGTTTTAACTATTATTTTTTTTTATTTTTTTTTCAAAACATTGGTTTTTTTCAAAGACGAACGCATCTTTTATATTTTTTAATATAATTTTAATAGCTTGAAGAGTAAAGCAATGAATATGGACTAAACTCACTTTCGGTATTTCTCCTGAAATAATGCCATACAAAATCAGCCTATCTCCTTGGAAAATAGTCGGTACTTCTTTAGGGATATTTAGGATTGAGCACCCATCTGGTAAACTCCATGTTAAGAACAAGTCTTTAATTGTTGGACAGAGACTGCTTTTCATGACGGACATTACCTTTTATTTAAATTAGAATTAATCAAGTGGAAAAAAAAATTACAGTAGAACAATGAAGACGGAAAAGTTAAAAAAAAAAAGTACATGGATTTCATAATGAAATAATGTTTAATGGAGATAAACAATATTTAAGCTCAAAAGTCCATTAAACAATACAATTTTGGAAAAGAGCAAACACGGACCTCTAAATCATGAAAGGTGGGATCAGGTGCTATGGAGGAGTAAGCATCCCCTGTCAACCGGTCACACCCACCGTTTGCTCCTTTTCAGTATAGGGGAAAAAATTGAAAATCTATCGACAATTCAGTGTGTAAATAATAGCCAGTTAATATGAAAAACATCCGTCGTCTATTACCTTATTTTGCAGTCTTTCACTGTCTCTGACAAATGTAGCCTTTCCTTTACCTGCCTCAGCTACATCGCGTATCAATGCAGTTGAACACCCATCACCAATCCCGAACGTAAATACCCTGAATAGTTAAATTGATTATATTAATATTTCATGATATTAAATGAAATATTTCGTTACCTGATATTTAAAACTATTCCACAATATTATCAAATTTGAAAATTTGTAAATTAATTTTAAATAAGAATTTCCCAGGATATAATTGTCTGATAAGATTTGTAATTTTTGAAAACATACAAGTTTTTCGGATTACAAAGTTTATTTCTATATACTTGTATCTAATATGTGTTTTGTAAAGAAAATCAAAGTCACATAATTGAGATGAGATGTTGCAAAACATCTATTAACTAGTTAAATATGAAATCTGTAGGACCTAAAGCTACACTTATTTTATTAGAATTAATTGTTCCAAAATTAGCGTTGAACTACAGTGTTGATATGCATTAGGTATAAAATTGGCTCATCACATTTACTGATGGAAAGACAACTTAAAAACTGAAGTGAATCATTTATAAGCCAGTGTTTGTGACTTTTATACTACATCGACGCATTCCTACTTTATGCATGACAGAGGGTCTTTCAATAAATAAATGCAAAATGTTATCTTAAAATTAAGAAAAAAAATAAGAATTTCTCATTTTTAATCCTTCAAGACATTCCCTGTTTAATTTTTACACAAATCTAATATTTTTGTACTCATGATCAGAACATCTCAGCATACTCGTTTTAAAAGATGTTCAAAAGACAATCATGAATAGCATTCTCCATGACATACCTAGACCTGTAAAATCTAAGTTTTTTCCTTCAGTTTCTAGAATAAAAAGATAACCGAGAGATTTAGCAAAAATGGAGCTGACTAAGTTCTGTAAACGTTCCTTCTTTTGAAATTTCCTTAACATTCTATGCTTATTTGCAGCAGCATTGTCAGACGTAAGAAAATTACCTGGGCACCAGTATTCGCTCTGGGGAACCGGTATTCAACCATCTCTGATAGAGAAACTGCTGAACCTTCCTTTATACGATTTTAACATGAGAACTATTATTGATGGTCGCTCCTATTGGAACCTGAAATCTATTCCCAAAAAATCGTAACTTTATAAAACTACAGCATGAACTTACGATAATCCTAAGATTAAAGTTACGAGCTATTCATAAAAATGGTCGTAAGATTGACACATCAGTGAAAATCGATCGTAGGATTTTTCCTTCCTTTGGTACCGACAATTGATCATATGGACCAGTGCGATGTGCGGGAAAAGCGAAAGAAGCAGACGATTGCGCAACATCGACCTGAAAATGATCGACAGTACCAGGAAAAGGAATTGGAGTGCCGAAGAAATATCTCTCCTCGTTGATTTTGTGTCCGAGAGGAAAGATGTCCTGGGTGGCGATTTTCTTTGGCACTCACCTCGTGTAATATAGAACTTATCGACTGAAGAGAAAACTTATATAAGGATTATTTAGAGCTCTTGGCTTCTTTTTGCAATAATTGAACAGCAGCTTTCTCTCTTATTGCACTTTTTATTATTGTTCTTCCTTTGACAGTGTTTTATGCAATACAAAGTGCACCAATGTTTTGACACCCATTCCTAATGATTATCATACCTTGTTCTTGAAATAATGTGTATTTTAATAGATAATTGCCCAACCTTGTGTTCGTTTGACTCCTCACTAATTTGACAATCTCTTGAACGTTACCAACTTCACCATCTGTCAGCAAAAACATCTAGAGAGAATATCCAGGAGAAAATAAAATATTCGTGGACAAAAATTCTTAAATCTTCTCAAGAAGAAAAGGAAAAAAAGTTTGGAAGGATGGCTAGCTATACATTTATGTTAATGACAATTTTGATTTAAGTATTCATGGTCAATTTGTAAAAAAAAATTATGGAAAGGGGTTAAGTTTTTAAAAAGTGCCTTTGACCTGTCTGACATCCTTGGTCGCTTTATCTTCGAAAATTTTCACCAAAGCTTGATAAATCTTCGTTCCACCCATATCAGCTTTCATCTCTCTCTGAAGGTCCATTGCTTCCTCCATGCTTTCTTCTGAGTAAGGTTTGCTCCTATAATTTCATTTCCTTAGAAGCTTTTACTTCATAAATGTATTTATATAGCTAATGGAAATGTACATCTATACATGTCATATTTTGTTTCCTTTATTGGAGTCTATATTAAAGTAAAATACAAGTTGATGATTATTTTAAGTCATGAAAAATAATGACGATTGACTAAGAGATTGGGTAGGAAACACCTCAAGTCTACTGCAATGGTAAAGATTTAAAAATACTTTATAGCTTACGTTGGAAAAAGAAGTGAGAAATCGCTGCCAAAGCTGACCACATTGAAGTAACAGTTGACCGGCAAGCTTTTTAAGAGGAGAAGTAGTGTTTCCTTCGCCTTTTCAATGCGAGAAAACATAGAACCTGATAAAAGAAGACCAGAACATTAAATGGACTCTTTGGCATGTTCAGTTTCTTTGATTGAAGTAATGCTTTCTGTTTGTGTTCATGATTAGTTCAGCGTATATGACTATTTCAAGTTTTCATTCATCTTAACAGATAGAGGTATCAAGATTAATAATAAAATAAACTTACCAGAACGATCAATCAAGAAAACGAATTCATGTGAATCATTGGTTTGTAAGTTGGAAAACGAGGGAGAAAAATTTACCATCAACACATCCGACGATAGGAAACCACCTGCAATATTAATAAAACACTTATTATTAATTACTTTATAAAAATACGAATGCATAGATCTTTTAATAAGAAGTTCATCTATCTATTCAAAATTATTCAAATATAATAATGGCTGCAATACAAAAGTACCTATGGACTTGCGGATACTAGTACATACTATATGTTTTTCATGTCTATACATGGCATTATATTGATTAAATTCAGAATATGAACAAAACAGTAAATTAAACTACTGAAAAATATTGTAACAAGAAGTCAATTTACTTTCATTATCCTCCTTCCCCTTCTCCAGAACTGCACATGGTTCATTAAAGCCTTTATAATGCAGCTCTAGAACGAAGTCCTTTCCAAGTCCTGGCCTTTTTGACACAGTGTACTACAACAATTTATGACAACCTCGATAGTAAAATTCGTACTTACCGAAAACTGTTTTTTCTTTACAAATTCATATGGATCACGCATAATATTAAACTAATGTAAAGTAAGTGGGCTTTTTTCATACATACTGCGGAAGTTAATACTCTATCTGCAGTGACGTCCATTGTTATTTTTTCTGAAGAAATGCAGCTATTCCCTCCTCCAGCGACTTTAACATCGAAATTGATGAAAAAGTCCTCCATGTACATCATACCTTTGTCAGAGAGTGAGGGCAAGACTTTAAGCTCCCCTCCTGTCGCTCCATCAGGTGGTGGGAATGGGCTGCTTCCTGTTTTTTTTTCAAATAAAAGAAAAGGTTGTATACATTACAAAAGATATAAATGTAATTGTAAAAAAAAAAATCTAGGTGAACGTATAAAATTCAAAGTATGGTGTTCACCTCGCCCTATGGGTTCAGTAAATATTGTATTCCTCAGGTGGCAATATCACCATATTAATCCTAGAAACATCAATTATTATATAATATACATGTGGTACAATTTATTTCTTTTAAACTGCAAACAAGGCACTTTTCTGTATGATCCCATAGAAAATGAAACTGTAATTTTTAACGATCCCTATAATTATAGTATGCTTGCTTACCACAGTCAGGGACATATCTGGGATTGAGAACAGTAGGTAGTGTTAATATTCCAATGTCATCTGGTTCCATGTCTATTTCTCTGGCGTATGCGAATGTTACCTTGGCAGACTTCTTTCCGGGAAGATTTCCCAACTTCAGCCGAAATACATCAGCATAATCATCGTCCATTGCCATGTACAATCCAACATAATTATTTTCGATAGCATTTTCATATGTTTCCTTTGCCTGTCAACAAATGTGTTGTTGATGATTTCATGTTTTCAATTTGATTTCAAATGAAGGGTGTATATAATATTATATAAATATTGCATGTAGTTGACTGTAACATTGAACATTTTCACCCCAAGAAAACCATTGTCAACCGAGGAGCAGCTGAGGTTGACAATGGTTTTCAAGGGGTGAAAATGTTCAATGTGACACTCAACTACATGCAATATTTATTATATTGTACCGAATGTTTTATACAAATACATATAACAGTGAACCGTGCGCGCATAGATTCTGTGCAGTCGCTATTTTTTGGAATATCACCCGTTGTCAAGCAATGTTGACTGTTGCTACGCTGGAGGGCATGGCTTCATTATTCAGTGGGTAATAGTATTTTTTAACATGTTTCTCGACCAATCAGATTCAACTAATTTATATGAAAGTATAATATAAAATATTGGAGAGGGCAACATTGTATTGCAGCTAGATTACCTGATGACCATATATATATGTATATCATACCTGAGATTTCTCCTGAACCTCGGCTACTATGGTCCTGTTTTCGATCTCCGCCTCAAACCTGTAGACCACCGAACCCTCATCCACTGGGAACACGAACTCTGTCTGGACAGCTTCTGTAGAGTTGTTGATGTAATACAGATCTGATTCTACACAGGCAACGAAATTCACCACCGTCACCCTGATGTCAATTCTTTGTAGAGGAACTAACCAAAATGGGAAAAAATTATCAGAATAAGGAAAACTAAGTTTGTAAAGAACAATATCTAATCCACAAAGAGGCCATTTGTTTTCTGATGTAAGAATTTTCAAATCGAAGACTGTTTTCTTTGCATGCTTGAACAATATCAATATTGAATAATAATATTAAAGAACATAAAAAAAAACAAAGTTTTACTGCTTCAACTTATTTATTTGCTTTCCCTAGTTATGTTTCTTTTTTTAAAAAAATGGATTATTTTCAAATAGTATTCCGCAAAAAAGACGGTTTCTTTTACCTAACAAAAACATTCCTTTCGATAAACTTCATTTACATATTGTTACAAAATTCAAATAAGTGCATAGTAATTACAGCATGAATTCTGCTTCGCTCAAATCATTTACAAAATACCTTTTTGACTATATATTTTTTCTAACGTACCAGTTTCCTCAGGGATCCCAGATTCATTGTACAGGACGAGTCCATGTCGTAATCTCTCCATTTTACCTATAGTAAGTTATCTGAAAATGATTTATAAATATCAAGTGAAATATAAAAATGATTCTTAATACAACAATTCTACATGCAAACATCTTTTTGTAACTTTGTCCTAAATTCAGGAGAACACTGTGGTCGGCTCTATTCGGGTCCCTAACCATTTTACCAACTTGTACCGGAGGTCCAGAAGTGTAACAACATACTGTCTTTTCCATTAATATAGAGAGATTAACAATTCCATTGCGACATTCTAATTATGGTACTAAAATGTTTGATAAAAAATATTGAAACACACTTCAAATACCATATATATTTTATACAGATACTTGTGGACAGGACCAACCCCCTCCCAACAATATTCACTCCCGGGGCTTATTGGACTTTTTTCACAAATTATATTTATCACACTTATTCCACATGTTAACAATAGGAAAAAATCGTAGAAACCCCAAAATAATCCCTCCACAAAAATAACCTGTAAGTACTATACATTATAAGAGAGATAATTTAAAGTGGGGCATTTTTTTTGTGGTGCGATTATTTTGGGGGTTTTACGGGTTTTTTTTCCTGTTTTAAACATGATGAATAAGTGTAATACATGTATAAATAACTTGTGAAAAGAAATGTCCAAAATGCCCCGGGGTTGAATATTGTTAGGGGGGGTCCTGTCCAAAAGTACCTGTTGAACGAACGTAAGGTTCTGAAATGTTCTGATTTATTAAGGCATAGACTTACAAAGTGCATAGATCTCTGAATCCAAAATATACGTATATGTGTACCTCAGGCCGATGCTATGGAATGTACGTACCTGTACACTGTATTTACCGGAGTCATACTGTATGAGAATTGTGCTTTTTTCTCAGATTTAGTTGTTAATTGTTGATGCTGAAAAGAAACTGTCAAACACATATCGGTTATTGTTTTAACCGTTGGTGATATTGGTTATTGTTCTAACCGTTGGTTAGGGATATGCAATTTTATTCGGTATACCGGTATATCACGATTTTTTGTTGCGTGATATGCATCGTGATACGGAGACATAAATACCGGTCTTTGGGTACATATTATAAAGTCCAGAAATTATTCATTTACAATGTATTTGTTCAATCTTTCAAATTACAATAACAGAAAGTATAAAAAATGTTATAAAAAGTGAAAAGAACGGCATCTTACCGTCCAAACATAATAATTATTGATTTTATATACATAAAAATTTCAAGGAAGTAAAATTTTGTTTTTCTAGCATATTTTTTCGAAAAATAATGACTTTTCATATAAAACCATTGTAAAAACTGCTTTTTAAAATACATGTATCATGATATTGTGGGGGAAAATCGTGATATATTGCGATACGAAATTTTTGGCGATACCCATCCCTATTGATTATTGTTTTTACCGTTGGTGATATCGGTTATTGTTCAAACCATTGGTGATATCGGTTATTATTCTAACCGTTGGAGATATTGGTTATTGTTTTAACCGTTGGTGATATCGGTTATTGTTCTAACTGTTGATAGTTTTTCAATGAAAGCCTCAACTGAGGTAAGGGAAGATTTTTGGGAAGATATTTTAGAACTGTAATAAAATTATTGTTCAATTTATTGTATGTTCAGGATATCTAGTAACAAAACAAAAAGTATTTATGGATTTCGAGGGCGTCTGTACCATTTCCTTCTACATGTAGTTTGACTGGGTTTTTTTTCACTCGCTCTGTTTTCTAAATTTATTTTTTTCAAAAATAATTTAAAAGGGCAATATTAAAAAATGATTCTGCTCTCTCTCGACTCAGGTTTTAAAAACGGATTTGTAGGTAGGGATATTAATATGGGTTAATGAAAAATTAAGTTATTAATAGGATGAAAAATCAGGGGTTAAAAAAGTTTCGAGAGACGGTTCCTTTTTACTTCATCGATAAGGAGAGGGCAAGCAATCTTTTTTTTTTTTCCAAAAAATGTTTTTGTTTTGAGCACATTTTATTAATTACACGTTATCAGAAATGGAAACGAGTTCCAAAATCCTCGGGTATTTTTTTTCCTTATACATTAAATCTGAAAACCTATATAACATTACAAAGATTTTTAACGATATACACGAAACAATTTGTTTTTATATACGTACGTGTGTATAGCTAACGAAAATTAATGTTAACTTACGCTTATTTTAAAATAATACGTTAGTTATATTTATAATAGTTTTAAAAGAGCTACATAAATCATAAATTTACACTTGATCCATGCACTAACTTTTGTTATGATTATGGGTTATAAGGGTTTCTAAATGACAAATTATTAATTATGAATATATTTTTATATAATTGTTTATTACTTTTCGGTCTTGTTTGACATCCGTAGTTGAAAGTTAATTGTTTTCATTTGATGTTTAGGAAAGGCATTTTTGCACATGTTACCAATATTTAATTCTTGACATCTCTTTCCTGCCTCACGATATCAATGTCATTTACTCATATTGTTATCAACTTTATGGTTAGATCTTAGGATCATGTTCTTTGAATTTGTTATGCTTAGCTCTACCTAATTTCAGTGTTGTAAATTAATGTCATACGGATTCCCCCTGTTCTTGCAATTTTCTATCCTTAATTTAATTGGCTGGTCAGTACGAAAGGGGAGGAGTTGTCAAAGATTAGATGGAGTGAGTTTGTTAGTGAGTCAGTTTTGGACCATTCTTTGTTAAATTCAGTTTGTTTAATCTTAAGAAATTCTTTGTAAAAATTCAGTTTGTTCCATCTACGAAAGTTGTTCTAAATTGTATTTGTGAAATTCATGATTTGGGGAATTTCAGTATTCCCAGCAGGCACGCAACGTTGTTTCAACGTTGAAAGGAGGTGGAATATAGGTTGCAACGTTGATCAACTATATTTCAACGTTGTTTCAACGTTGAGGTTTCAACGTTGAATCCTCAACCTTTTTTCAACGTTGAAACAACGTTGAAGCTGCAACATATTTTCAACGTTGAATGTTCGTCGATATTTCAACGTTGAAACAACGTTGATGCTGCAACATATTTTCAACGTTGAATGTTCGTCGTTATTTCAACGTTGAAACAACGTCGAAGCTGCATCATATTCTCAACGTTTGATGTTTTTTAATATTTCAACGTAGAAACAACGTTGAAGCTGCAACATATTTTCAACGTTGAAACAACGTTGAAGATTCAACATGTTTTCAACGTTGAGTATTTTCTGATTATGTAGAGTCAAAACAAGGTTTAAAAATGCAAAGTTGACTGTCTCTTGATTTCAACGTTGAAACAACGTGGAAGATACAACATATTTTCAACTTTAGGAAAGTCAGGAAAAATTAACGTTGATACAACGGGTATAACGAGTATTGAGCACTTGAGTTTTTAAGTTCAAAATATAAAGGTGTCTTTAACTTCTAATCCGTGCGATTTTTCGTAATATACACACAGCTGTTTGCATTGTTAGAAAATATTATATACATAATAATTATACTTAATAAATGAAACGCATACATTAATTATAAATTGATTCACTCTAAAGAGTTGTGCCAATAGCTAGTACCATTATAAAATTTTGAATATGAGTTTATATGAAGCATGGCATCTACATTTAACACTTCATTATAATTATGTTTCAAAAAAAGGTTATTTTTTTTTTATAAATTGTGAATGCTATTTTTTTGGACATATTTATAAGATATGTTAAATATAAGCTTTTAATAAATAATATCTTTATCCAACATCTCACGGTAATTCCATGTTACTATAGAATAAATAAAAATAATTATTCCGTATACTCTTTCGCAGATTATACGTATACAGAGCGAATCTAAAAAGTCTTATTTTATTAGATTGTGCTTTTATTATGTGTATTAATTCAATAATCTTTCTTTTCACAAAATATATAAAAAAAAATTCAAATAAACTCATAAGCATTTTCACACTGACAATTAACCCCGGTCAAGTTGCATTACTTAAGATCCACTCCCCAAAAACCTTTGAGATATCAGATAAGGAGTGCCTCTCGCTTACTTGGTCAGTTTCAGTGTCAGGATAACCTTGTTATGCAATTTTCTTGCTGGGCAGAGTATAGCTGTTTGCAGCTTATCTAGGTCAAAATTTGAATTCAACTGATGGACAAGAAGTGCGCCTCTCCTTGCTGTTCATATTTAATGTGTTTTCAAGTTATATACACAAGGATTAAGGCTGGATTATCAATTTCTGCCCAGTAAGTATTATTTACTTTTCATGAATGTAAGAAATTAAGATTTTTTAGTATCTGTTCATCATTTAATTCTTGTTATATAAGTACATGTATATTTGAAATCTGCGTGAAATGCACAACCTTGGTTCTTGTATTATGTGTTTTGTTGATATTCATTTGGTTATGAAATATAAGCTAGTATACTAATATATTATACAATTTAATTAATTGTAGTTCGTCGTTAGGTTAAATCAACCAGTGGTGCAGGGAATTGATTGTATAGTCAGCCTTGATTGCATCAGATTCTTCGCCCGTGAAAATTATACACAGGAATGCAACATTTTGTAAGTACACTATGTATATGTATGTCTATAACATTTTTCTTTAGTAATAATTATTTATAAGTATACTCATACGAATTTTAACATGAAGTCAACTATAATTCTTTTAATCATGTTAATTAAATCCAAGTACCGGAATATATTCCTTTGTCTGATTTTTTTTAATCATTCATGTATATTTATTTTTATCGTTTGAAATAACGTGTTAGGTACATTTTATCAAACAAATGGCTTTAACATCTTTATTTCTTTTATCAATAGGCTTTTGCTTTAGAGGGTGGATTCTCCTGTTCATTTCTTTCATTCGTGGGACTATATGCGTGATTAAAATCAATGGATCCGCCACTTTATGGAACTTAGTAGTGTAAGGCAGACGCGAACTTTGAAGGACCTGGATGTGATTACTGTGACCCACTTTTCACTAGGAATATAAATTTTGTCAAGCAGTGATTTTTGAGATTCAGTGATTGAATTTGAATT